CCTCAGTCACAGGAGTAACCCTTTTTAACTCAGTGGTTTACCTTCTTTTTTAGGTATTTATTTAAACCTTCTGGCAGTTTCAGTCACAGGTAGGGGGATATGCATTGTAAATGATGGTTTTATCTCAGGTAGGATATGGAAATAACCTCAAGCTATCCTTGCTTCTATCCCAGTCTAGTTCTGTGCTGCAGCATGTGCAGCAGCCCTGCTGCCCTTTGGGGTTTGTAGAATATTTTAAAAGTAATATTTTAACAGATGTGACCATTTTTCCTCTGTACCACCATGCAGCTGTGAAGGCAGTGGTGGTCACCATCTCCATAGCACAGACTTTGCAGTTGATGTGTTGAAGTTCTTCTCTGTTACCAGTCTTTAGTTGCACAGAAAATGCGCTGAGGGGCAGAGCCCTACAAAGGGAAGCACCTGGAGAGCTGTGCCAAAGGTTCAGGACAGAGCTGAGACTGAGTCTGTTCTCACCTTTCCAGTGTCTACCCTCAGGTACAGATACAAACAATGCAGAATAGAGCATCAACCAGCAAACAGTGCAAACCACTAACATTTGCATTTTATATTTCCAATCAGTTCTTATGCCAAGAGAAACTATTCAATTTTAAGTGCTATTTGGACAAATCCCTGCTCACATTCACCAAATCTCAGTGTTTATCCTTCTATCACAAAGAGGACTTCCATGATTCCATGATACAAAAATATGCTCTGCGTCCTTTGGATTCCAAATGTGCTGTGTGCCATTTTCATTCTGGGACAAAAAATTTACTTAATTTTGGAAGATCAGAAACTGAGACTTCATAGAAAATTATTTTTGGAAGATTTTGCAGTATTTTTAATTTTATAGAGAATATTTGCTTCTAGCAATCACTGCAACTGATCTTGTTAATATTTTTCATGCTGTTACCCTTTGCAGTACCCCATGTGCATTCCTGCATTTGTAGTTGGTTGTGCTTTTACCCTTCCACACAAAATTCCATTTTTGACATTGTATCAGGTGTTCTTTCTCCTCCTTGAGTTTCTTCTGTGCCCTCTTCACAGGACACAGCCTGTGCTTGGTGCTTTGTCCTTCCAGGTTCTGTGCCCCAGGGCACCTTGATCCCATCCTGCTCCTGTCACACAGAGCATACCCTGGGACCTCTCCAGCACTCCTGGAGGAAAAGCGAATCTATGGGGTCTGAACATGCATCCAGCACATCCCTGGTGGCTGTGGCTGCACTGAGGGCCAGGTCTGAGCCCTGTGGCTCCCAGTGCAGTGTCCCAGGGCTGGGGCAGCTCCCAGGGGCTCTGTGGTGCCCCAGGGGGCACAGCCCAGCTGGGTCTGGAGAGCAGAGCCAGCTCCACTTAATGCCTCAGGTTTGAGCTTTTCTATTTTTCAGATTCTGTGCTGCTTTAGTGTTTGAGGCTCCATATTCAGGGATGGTGAGCTCTGTGCACAGAGCAGGGAGACAAAACAATTCCTGCTCCAGCTGGGCACCAAGGACAAATGATCCAAATCTCCGCCCAAGACCCTAAAAAATATGGGCTGAGGAGAGAAAAACAAGCAGGGTGGGACTTCGTGGGCTAAAGCTGGAACTGGACAATGAACTGCAAGATGCAAATGGAGCAGAACGGATCACAGTGAGAGACCCCATGGCCTGTCACCCATTTTGTGACCATTTTGGTTCATCTTGGGTGCAGCCCTGGCTGGGCTCTTGTGCTGCCCAAGGTGGATCCATGGAGGAGATCCTTTTAATAATCCCTGCTTTATTCTTTAGCTCTGTCCAGCCTCTGTTCTAGCTCAGCCTTCCCAAGACATCCCACTGACAGCCCCAGGGTGCACCTGGGGGCTCCAGGAGCAGCAGCCCCTTGGGATGGAGGGTGACAAGGGGACCTTTGGGGTCTGGAGTCCCCACTGGCCCCCAAAGGCTGGAGAGAAGGGGCAGTGTAGTCAGAGGGCCATGTCTGAAATCAGCCAGGCTGGAGATGGAAACCCCATTGCACAGTTGAAGCCAGGGCCCAGAGCCTGAGAAATAATAATTTTTTCCATTGTGATAGGAAATGCTGTTTGTAAAGTATCCATTGTAATGATTGAATTAAAAAAAAATAGCCATACTAAAGTGTTGCTTAAGAGTCAGGATTAAATTTAATGGTAATAAAGTGCAGCTAGAAATGCTCAGTAAATGGTTTCAGTCCCCTCTTCTAAGGCTAATCAAGGCAGTGAGCTGCTCTGTGTTGAGCATCCTGGCATAAATATCAAATGTGGTTTATCATATTCCAGTTGCATTTAGTTTTTTCTCCTTTTCCCTTTTTTTAACCTGATGTTCTGAGGATTTCCTTTTAGTGCCTACAAATATCTCCTTTTGACAGACAGTGCAAATTAAAAGATATGGCTGGGCAAAGGAAACTGGAACCCAAATATGCCCCCTGGGTTTTCATTTACAGTTAGAAGCTACAGACACAATTACTGCTGACAGAAATGCAGAAGCCAGTGGCAGAGTGCATGTGGCAGTAGAGTCGTGCCAGGCAGTAATTGGGAAGATTATTTTTAATCAGAGCATATCCTACAGCCCAAACATTAGAAATCTCTTGTAAGGCTGACAGGAAATTAAACTGAGACCAAACAAAAAAAGCCTCAAAATATAAGTAATATGGTTAGAAGTCTAATCATGGCAGAACTCAGTGCTTGTTGTATTTGGTTGTTATCTAAAGGGAATGGCTTTTAACTTGCAGCAAGAGATATCATTGTTTAATTGCATTTTTAGAACAGAATTAAAAAATATCAGATTAGATCAATTTAGACACAGGCTTTTGATAAAGGTCTGAAGCAGTAGATGTTAAGTCAGGCTTAGTAATTGTATATATGTATTAGTAGTGATTTTTATTATTGCTTTAGGTAATTTTATTTTCTTTAATATAATCCTTAACGAAACCACTTCTACTGGAAAGTAACAACATGTCTGGGATACTCTTGGAATGCTTGGCTCTGGTGACATTTTTGAAGGCTGGATGGACTGGGGCTCTGTCTCAGTGACCCTGCAGAACAAGCTCAGCTTGTTGGGGCTGCCTGAGCTGCTGCCCTGAGGGAGAAATCCCTGGGGTGTCTCAGTACTGGCACTTTCACCTGGAAACACTTCTTCATTTTTAAGTGAATCTTAATAGATAGTCATCTGTGCCAAACTTCTCCCTGCACACTCAGCTGGGCTTCCTCCAGCTGCCTGTGCAGTTTCCCTTGTCCCTGAACAGAGCAGGTGTGGTGTTTTCTGGGGCAGGAATTGATGAATCTGACTCCATGTTCTTAGAAGGCTAATTTATTATTTTATGATATTAGGTTATATTAAAGACTACTATAATAAAGAATAGAGAAAGGATACAGAGAGAAGGCTAAAAGATAATAACGAGAACTCGTGATTCCTTCCAAATTCTGACACAGCTTGACTGTGATTGGTCATTAAGTCAAAACAATTCACATGAAACCAATCAAACAATGGCCAGTTAGATAAACAATCTCCAAACCACATTCCAAAGCAGCAAAACACAGGAGAAGCAAATGAGATAATATTGTTTTCCTTTTTCTCTGAGGCTTCTCATCTTCCCAGGAGAAGAATCCTGGGCAAGGAGGATTTTTCCAGAAAATGTGACAGTGACAAGCAGGAGCTCTGTGGTCAGGCTCTGCTGCTCTTGGTGTGCCTGCCACATGTAAATGTTGTAATACCAAGTACAAGAAAAACTTGGCTGATTGGAAGTGTATTTCTCAGTCATAGGAGTGCAAAACTTGCCTATTTCATGTTTTGCCACAATTGATGGCAGTTGTGGAAAAGGAAATTTAGCACTGGTAATGTACAGGTGGCGTTTCTCCACAGGATTGCTTGTAGCTGTGCGGGCAGCTCTCAATGGCATTTTATGTCAGTGTGAGGAATAAGGTGTAATGCTCAAATCCAGAGCCAGCCAGGTTATCCTGAGGCCTGCAAATTGGATTTTATCACAATTACAGTAGAGATTTTCCACACAAAACTACTGGCATTTTCCAGCTCCTTCCAGTATTTCCTTCTACTGAAAGTTGCTTCATAAAATCATGTGAATATGTCTGAAATCCTGCTGGTTGTTTAGATATTGCCAGAATAGCTGGGTAAGAAATTAAATGTACTTGGTAAGGCAGATAATTTCAGTGTGTACAAGCCCTGGAAATTGTGCCCTGTTTACTGTTAGGAATTTTACTGACGTGGATAAAAAGCATATTAAATTTACTGACAGATTGATTTGATTATACTCTGACCTAAATGTGTATTGTCTTTGGAGACTCGAAATATGGACAAAAATTCTATTTTCAGGAGTATTTATATCAAAGAGTCCATATTGCCATTTGCACATGGAAATGAAAAATGCATGTAGGGAGAATCTGTTAGGTAAAACATGGCTGAGCTTACTGTACCTACTAAAATTCAGTGAATAATTCAGTAAAATGTTACATGTCACAGCTGCTCATTAATAAGAAAGAATGGCAGGGAATAGAGTGTTATCCTATTGGAATTCCCAAATCTGTGCTTGTAAAGCATATTCTGAATGCCCCCCTTTTTATTATCCATTTTATGACAACTTTTCTTTCACAAAAATGCTTCAAATTTTCAATTGAAGAATACACAAAAAGCAAATTACAGTGGTGCGTTCCTATTGAAACAGAAACCTGTGCTGGGGAAAATTTACAGTAATGGCTTAATAATTTCTATTTTAGTAGGTAAATTTGCTATGAAAACATAGATTTTTGGTTTCAAATGCATTGCAAACTGTCCATGGAATGTGTAATAAATAATGAGGCTTGTGAATCGATAACCAGATTTTGCAGTTTGGCTTTGTACTGCAATAAAAAAACCCTTCTGACCCAACAGTGTGTGCAGTGACAGCCCAAGCAGTGGATTATCAATTGTATTTTTTGTTGGATCTTTCTGTGAGGGCAGAGCACAAGCAGGAGCTGCCCTGAATCCCTCATTCCCACTAAGAATGTGATTTTCTCTCCCCAGGAAACTCCACAGAAGCCCCATGCGAGTGGTGCCTATTGTTTCCACGAGCAGAGCCTCCTCTCAGTAAGTCCCTGGGTTTTTTCTTGCCTGTTGATTTTCCCAGATCTCTCTTGTGCTCTCCCAGTTAATGCAGAAATCCCTGGGACTCTCCAGCTTGCTGCATCACCAGGCTAACAGAGCACAAGTAAAGGGTCTGAGGGTTTCAGTCTTCAGTGAGCAGTAACATCCTTAGGAAATGATCTTGCCTGGTTCTGGCTGGAGGTTAAAATGATTTTCTCTTGTGTTTCCCTCGTGCATGTTTGGGTTGTGTCACTGTCGTGTTTGTGCCACCTTTTTGGCTGATTACTTTGTGTACAGATTACTCACAGACACTTTGTGCCCTCAGAACAGCAATGGATAATTAATTCACCCTGCTGTCCTTTAGAAAATGCTCTCTGTAAAGTTAGAATAGGGAATATCACGAATTAAGCTCCAAAATTTATAGGACATATGAAAAAAGTATTTGTGCTGATTAGTTTTTTGCCTTTTCCCTTTCTGAGGTTTTCAAATCCAAACCACTTGTTGCTTGTTCATACTTGGAATTTATTCTTTAGTAAAGTTTTTCTTTGTAGCCTGTACATAAACCCAAAAATGATTAAGCACTTTTTATTCAGGATATAGATTTCTATACTTACGGTAAACAGAGAAGTGTCAGACAAAACTGTAATTTGTGGTGGATGTATATTTTATATTTAAACAGTTTTTAATAATCCTCTGCTTAAAATCAACTCCAATTCTCAGCTATTTTGTATTAGATAATGAGCATGGTTTGTTCTGTATTAGGCTGAGTATACTTTGCTTTATATGCATTTATAATTACACTCTTCTTTGTTCTGTGTTGCACATGGGTATTGAAAAAATAATAGACTGTGTTCACTTTTTTGTTCCACTGTATTAATGTGAGAAGCTGAGTTCTGCCCCAACACACAAAGTTTCATGTCACTGAAAAAATTAGACACACAGTCCTTGCTAGGAAAAAAAAAATAAGAGTTTTGCATTTATTCTCCTACACTGAACACAATCTTCCTCCTAATGTCTTTGAAATAAGATTTCATTATTTCAAAAAGACTGCCTGGCTTACTGGATGAAAAAAAAGCCTGTTCATCTTGAGGATAGATTTAAATCAATTCTGTAGTGCTCAGCATGCTTGTTGCTTTTAGCTTTTCCTCTGTCATGAACAGTATTTTCTAGCACAGAATAACCTTACAGCCCTTAGCAGAATTTGATGCAATTGACAGCTTTTGTTAGAAAAATTCTGGTAAAAAATTGCACGGAGGAGGTTGGGGTTTCCAGCCCAGGGGAGACAGCAGTCCCTGAGATAATCACAGCATGTTTGGAGGAAGCTCACATTAATTTGGCTGTGAACACAGTGCCTCAATAGCTATAAATTCAGTTTCCAGGAAAAGAAATTCATTTTTTCCTCAACAAACTAAAGCAGAGGTTTTGGGGAGCTGAAGAAGAGAGAAGAAAAAAATGCTCGTTTGGAACCTGAGGAAGGCTTAACGCTCCCAAACCCGCTTGTGCATCATTTGCTGATTATTTTCCCGGTGCCCGTAAGGCAGCAGCAGGACTCTCCATCAGCTGAGGGGTCCCTGTGTCAGCAGGCTCAGCCCCAGCCCCGGGTGTTGCCTGGAAACAGCTCTGGATGGGAGCTGGCTCCTGGCAGCCCCATCTGCCTGGGCGGGATGCCCTCCTCACTCCCGGGGCACTGGGCACAGCTACCGCACTGCTGGAATGCTCTGTCCCCTTCCCTGCCTGAAAAAAGGCATTGCAAACCACAACTCCCACCCCCCAGCACACAGGTGTTAGGGTGTTGGAATTGTATGGGTTGAAATGAATATCTGCTCCTTGTCAAAATCTCCTGTAATAATGGAATTTTGTATTCCTTGGGTTGAATTTCATTTCAGGTCCTAGCTATAGTTGATTTGTAGTTGTTTTCCTGTTTCATTTTGATAGAGAAATATGTTGAGGTAAGTCTAGTTTGAACTAGAGAAATCCTGGATTTTAAAATTCAGTTTCCCAGCCGATGGATTTGGGTGCTTGACCTTCTGTTAATGGTGCAGTGATGCCTCCGGTACTCCAGCAAAGCTGCAGTGCATTGAGCAAACCAGTAAACAAAGCAATACAAGACAGCTCCAGAAAACCACTGAAAATAAACATGACAGGCAGGGGAGATAGAATTGTTCCAAATATACAGTGGGAAATCAAGGACAAATAGTGACTGGCAGGGGGTCTGGAGCAGAAAAAAGAAAAGAAATCAGAAGTGTTTTGGTGTTTGGCAGAAAGTTTCTACAATTCTTGCCCATTCTGTTGTTTTTTTTTTTTTCTTCTTCTTCAGGTTGTGCATGCAGCAACAGCTGTTCCATAATTTGATAAACATACTGTAATTAAGTGATCTTGTTTATTAGTAACACCTTTCCCTGACTAGGAGATTTTAAAGTGTCAGAGAAAGGATGAGCCAGGGGTGCTGCTTCATGTTAATTTGACAGCTTCATCCTTTGGAAGCTCTGCTGTGGTTATCCATGTTTTAAACCCTGCTGGATGTAAAGATATTTATATTAAAAGGCTTTTGCTCTCCAGTCTTACCTTGCAGAGGCACCTGCAGGAAGAGCTTATAAAGCCAGGGGAAAAAAAAAGACATTTAAACCCCTTTTCTCTAATTTTAGAGTGAGCTGTGTTTTCCTTGGAATTGTAAACACGCAGAACAAAATAAGGGAGAAATAGCTGTAATTGCATTGAAAATATTATAGGGCATTATGAGTCCTTTTCCCCCCTCATTAAACACATCTTGAAAAATTGTTAAAACAATAAATCTATTTTCCAAAACATCATAGCATGCCATGGAGGAGTCTGAGGAGTTTATTGTGATCTAGGGATTTCTACCTGAGAGATGTGAAAAAAAAATAAGTTGTGAAAGAGACCTATTATAAAATACCTGAATTCTCTTGGAAAGAAACCAATATTATAACTTTATTCTAAAAAATATAGAAGAAAAAAATTAATGATGGTATTCTTTTTTATCCATCTCTCTCCATTCTGATGCAGTCTGAATGAGAGTATTAGTCTAGAGAGTTGAATATTTTTTCAGTTGCAGCACTTTGAATTACTGATATGTGCAAATTACAGTAAAAAAGGGATGAAGAGTGGTAGTTAGACAACGTAAATGATGCAGTAAGTTCTGCTCCATTACTTTATCTCAGCTAGGATGGGGAACTGTTTAGTTGTTAGGATCTGCTCCACTGTCATATTATTCATTGTTGTTTTGCAATATCTTCAAATATCTTCAACAGTTATTGTAGGAATTCATTAAGGGCCAGGAGCAGCGAGGCATTTCCCCACTCCTAATGATGAGCAGAGAATATTCTCATGGATGTTTTTGCTTCAGAAAAAGCTTAACTAGGGTAGCTGAGCCTGACCTGTGTTGGATTTATCTCTTTTTTTTCTTTTCCTAGTTCTGCTGTGTGGTAATTCAGTGTTAGGTGGCTGTTTGTAATACTGCTTTTCCATTAGATATGTTTCACTAGATATGAGCTTTCCTGTTTAGGGAGCGAAATATACTTTTGTTTAATTTGGTGGGCTTGGGGTTTTTAAAATCTGCATGTCCCAAGGTTTCATTTACCACAGGGGAAGAAAATGTTGTGGTTTTTTTCCTTGCTGTCATTAATGTGAAGTTTTTATGAGTAGAATCACCATTTTTTTGGATGAAGGAGCAGTTATGTGGGAGCAGTTTTATAGGAGTCACTGTTAAACCACTGCTATAATTTCTCATTTCCTGAATGGTAAAAGGGCTACAAACCAGAGTATCAGTGGTCTGCTTGTGATTTACAGGTGATTCTGCTGCTCAGCTCACTGAAACCATGATCTTCCTATGGAAATAAAGGAGCTGTCCTTGTTTAGATTGTGCTTTATCACTGCTGCAGGTGATTTCTGTATTTATTGGGGCAGCTCAAGTTACTCTCTCAAAGCAGATTCAGGAGCATAAAGCTCACTGAAATTGAATAGGGCATCTTGAAAAGAAGAGGCAGACTCCTAACACAAGGGGGTTTTTTGAAATACCACTGTAGATTATCACAAATTACAACTCTGTAACTAAAATTAGCATTGTAAATTCCCTTGGCTGTACACAAATGCACATGGAAAGAAATATTGCGACAATTTCCTAATTTCTCCTTCTCTTTTAACAATTCGGTCCCTATTTCTTTCTGATGGATTCTTCTGTGCACTTTCTAAATTCTCCATCTTTCCAAGAGGTGTTTTGAGTTAACCAAGTAAAAGCCTTAGGGGTTAAATACAGCCTGGCCTGAGCCTGTGTATTTACAGTTCATGGCAGCTTGTTTTCTGAACATCACAAAGACATTTTCTTACTCAGGATTTATGAAAATTTCCACATGCATGTAAACACCCAAAATACTTTCACTGGCAATTGTTTGCACTCTGGATGTTCTCCAGATTGCAGCTTTAAGAGGATTTTGATCAAGTTCATTTCCACAGCTCCGTGGCATTTAAGAGCTATCAAGCCCCAATATTCCTGTGAGATTAGTATGTGCTATTATCTCTTTATTACAGAAGGAGAAGCCAGAAAATTGAGCAGCCTGAGTGATGTGCCAGGAGAAGGACTGTAGCAGAGCTAGGATTTGAATTCATGTTTCCCAAATCCCAAATCATTGCCTACGTTCTTGGGCCATCTTTCCTCTGCTCTGCCTCTAATCCAGTAACTTTTATTCTTAATGATTTTTTCATTTGACAGTGAAAAAGACCTTATAATTTCATGCTCCTTCCTGTCTCATAAAATTTGAAATTTTTCCTTAAGAAAATCCTGCAGTTATTAAATGTGTATGGAAAGTGTGTGATATGCAAAGTGCTATCAGCACAGGGCAAGGCTAATTGAAATATGACATTCCTGGTGATGATCTGGGTCATGCCAGGGGTGTCCCCATCCTTTAATGAAGATATAAACTCAATCCCCTTTACTTTGAAGAGCTTACAGACTTCTGAAAGTTTTTTTTTTGGTTTTGCAGGGTGGA